ATGAGGAAGAGGGTTTTACAGAAACTACACACAGCTTTTGGTGGTTCTGATGAAGAAAGGGTATGGTGGACCCGGTAAGTGTTTTGATTCTGGTCAAAATTTGTGGTTGAAATCTGTTTCTGATTACTGTGTTCGTTCTTTCTTGGCTAAATCTGTTGGAATTCAAACTGTTGTTTTACTACCTACTGATTTTGGCGTTCTTGAGTTGGGTTTCGTTAGAATCTTGCCTCAAAGCTTTGAATTGTTGAACAATGTTAAGTCATTGTTTTCACTTTCGAATTCTATCACACAATCGTCATCGTCGGCATCGTTGTTGTTGTATCACATAATTCTAGATGTGATTGAGAGTAAATTTGACTGTAATTCTTTGCATATACCAAGAATCATGATTTTAAATCTTATATAATTTTTTTGGTTTGCTATGTTTAGGGGTGCAGAGATGTGGAAAGATTTGCAGAATAACTCTTCTGTTTTAAGAGTTGATGATTTTAGAGGTTTAAGAATAAAGAAGGAACACTAGCTCTAGTGGAGGAAGGAGAAGTAGAAAATTTCTGAGAAAGAAATGAATTTAAATGAACTCAATGAGATCTGCGGTACAATTGTGCGCCTCCAAGAGATTCTTGTTATATGCAAATCTCTACTTTTCTTATATATTCTTTTCTGTGGGGTGTTTAATTTACTGTTTGGTTGATGCAGGTTAAAGAGAGTTTAAGAGACGATTTCAGATATAAATCTATGAAACACGAGGATAGGGAATTTTTGTTCAATGAGTATATATCCGAGTTGAAAGCTGCTGAACACGCAGCAGAAAGAGAGACTAGAGCTAAAAGGGACGAGCAGGTACTAGGTGGTTAATACATAATATGTAATGAATGCCTTTGAAATCATTAGAAGGTTGGTAAAATTGTGAAGAAAGAATAACTGTCGGTCCCCTTTCTTATAATTGATGCCTTGACATGATGCTCCAATTAGTTCGTAGTGTGTAAATACTGTTTTTTATTTTATTTTATTTTATTTTTTAATAAACGCGGGTAAATACTGTTAAACTACTTCAAATCTAGGATTTTTGCTATATTGAAGCTTAGTTTGTTAGAGTAACTTCTATGACAGGCTCTATTGATGCCTTTTTCTGTTTTATGTTGGATTGAGTTGTTTAAGTCGGTTTATACTTGTATACAAATGTTCTTCTAGCAGCTCATTCTTAGTAACTTATTATAACATTGATTTTGTCCAAATTAAAACTCAACTGATTTGCAGGAGAAGTTTCCTGGGAAAGGGAGCGGGAGTTGCGTAAAAGGAAGGAAAGAGAAGAACATGAAATGGAAAAAGTACGAATAAAGATTAGAAGGAAGGAGGCAGTTACTTCTTTTCAAGCTTTACTCGTGGAGAGAATCAAAGACCCGATGGTATAAAGCTTTTATTCTTCTTGCTACTGTTGTTATTTTGAAGATTAGTTTCCTTTTCAAAATCTGAAAGGATTAGAATATCTTTTAGGTGCTAGAGTTTTAAACAAGTCATTTTGGTTTCTTAATTATTGATATTTTCCCAGATTTATACGCGCATGATTCCATTTTAACGTTTCCCCATTTTGAATTGGACTAAACTGCATTCAGTTAATTATTAGGAGGGTTTGGTTCAACATAAAGAAAAATAGATGAATGCAAATGAGTTCCTCAGACTTTTGAAGGCTAAATTATGCTAGGAAATTTGCTGTTTATAATAAATTTCATATATTTTGTGTATGTTCTTAGGCATCATGGACAGAATCAAAGCCGAAGTTAGAAAAAGATCCGCAGGGACGGGCAACCAATTCTGTTCTTGATTCAACTGACATGGAAAAACTCTTCTGGGATCATATAAAGATGCTTCAGGAAGTAAGTGATAATATCTGATGTAATTGATATTTGTGACGTCCTCTCTATTGTTGCATGTTCTTAACTATATATGCGATAGACTGCCCCACTTGAATGGGATTGAGGCTCTGTTTAAGTGTCATAAGAAAATGTATTACAGGCTTTCAAAGTTCCTTTAATATATTTCTTCAATCTTAACAAATTTGACTGTAATTCTTTGCATATACCAAGAATCATGATTTTAAATCTTATATAATTTTTTTGGTTTGCTATGTTTAGGGGTGCAGAGATGTGGAAAGATTTGCAGAATAACTCTTCTGTTTTAAGAGTTGATGATTTTAGAGGTTTAAGAATGAAGAAGGAACACTAGCTCTAGTGGAGGAAGGAGAAGTAGAAAATTTCTGAGAAAGAAATGAATTTAAGTGGTGAGTGACAATTCAGATCACAAATTTCAGCTATTTCTAGTGTTCAACATGTGTAATCTGGTAAGTCTTTTTTATTACTATAATTCTCCAACACCACCTAGATATCTTGTACATGATTATTCCAAATATACTGCTATTGATGTTTCTAAAGCAATGTGAATATAAGAGAAGGCCAATGCAATTCTAGTTGTGATTGAGAGTAAATTTGACTGTAATTCTTTGCATATACCAAGAATCATGATTTTAAATCTTATATAATTTTTTTGGTTTACTATGTTTAGGGGTGCAGAGATGTGGAAAGATTTGCAGAATAACTCAATGAGATTTGCGGTACAATTGTGCGCCTCCAATGAGATTTGCGGTACAATTGTGCGCCTCCAAGAGATTGAAAAGTAAGGGTTTTAAATTGATTTGTTGGTAAATAATGCAATTTCCAGCTATTTGTACCTGTAGCATCAAATTAGTAGGTAAATAATGAAGTGATTTGATTGTGTTGAGTTTTAGTGAATTGTGTTGAGTTTTAGTGAATTGATTTTTGGTCAAATTTTGACATTCGTGATCACCATTGTGCTAAGTGTCAATAGGAAATGTATCATAAGCTTTCAGATTGGATGATTTATACTAAGTGTCATAAGAAAATGTATTACAGGCTTTCAAAGTTCCTTTTATATATTTCTTCAATCTTAACAAGGTTGCAAGAGTTCATGCAATGTTATTAGACTATATTCATTTTTATAAGATTTGATGCATAGCTAAGTGTCATACTGATTGCATGATAAACTGGACGAAGGATAGTTGAACAATGCATCTTATTTTAGTCAGAAAAGTAGATAGCCTTTTGAAAAATTTGAATTGCCTTAAAATATGGAATAAGAGATTTTTGTAGGATTTAGTCAGGGGAGGCTCACCCTGCTCTTTAAAGACTTAGCACATAGGATACACTGCATATGCTAATAAACACACTAAAGTGTGTAAATAAGTTCCTGTGCCCGAAACTGGAGGAACAAGTTCTTGTGCCCGAAACTGGAGGAACAATAGATGTCTTCACCATTAGTACCAGGTTGGACTCATTACAAGTGAGATCCCGTCAGGGGAAAAGGTGGAGCATCTAGCAAAATTGTGTATAATAAAAAGTTCCTGTGCCCGAAACTGGAGGAACAAGTTCCTGTGCCCGAAACTGGAGGAACAGTAGATGTCTTCACCATTAGTACCAGGTTGGACTCATTACAAGTGAGATCCCGTCAGGGGAAAAGGTGGAGCATCTAGCAAAATTGTGTATAATAAAAAGTTCCTGTGCCCGAAACTGGAGGAACAAGTTCCTGTGCCCGAAACTGGAGGAACAGTAGATGTCTTCACCATTAGTACCAGGTTGGACTCATTACAAGTGAGATCCCGTCAGGGGAAAAGGTGGAACATCTAGCAAAATTGTGTATAATAATAAAGTTCCTGTGCCCGAAACTGGAGGAACAAGTTCCTGTGCCCGAAACTGGAGGAACAGTAGATGTCTTCACCATTAGTACCAGGTTGGACTCATTACAAGTGAGATCCCGTCAGGGGAAAAGGTGGAACATCTAGCAAAATTGTGTATAATAAAAAGTTCCTGTGCCCGAAACTGGAGGAACAAGTTCCTGTGCCCGAAACTGGAGGAACAGTAGATGTCTTCACCATTAGTACCAGGTTGGACTCATTACAAGTGAGATCCCGTCAGGGGAAAAGGTGGAACATCTAGCAAAATTGTGAATAATAATAAAGTTCCTGTGCCCGAAACTGGAGGAACAAGTTCCTGTGCCCGAAACTGGAGGAACAATAATAATAAATGCATGTGTAATCCTAAATATTTAGTGAACAAAAAGTCTATAATAGAGCAGTTAATCCCCCCTTCTAAAACTGAAAGATAAACTCTTGGACCATAGGATGAGGCAACGAAAGTTGAATTTAGGCTAACTATCTTAACTGAAGAGTATTGGTGTTACTGATAACATCAGTGCAACACAACACACACACACACTTTAGAGTTGTGCCAATTTTTGGAAAGATTTATCATTATATTTGTGTTTTAATGCATTGTAGATGTTTTTGTAGTATTCAGTTTAGAGCACAATCGGTGCTCTCTCTTGTAGTTTTGATGTGTTTGTTACTTGGTTTTAAGTAGCCTTCTGATAAGGTCAGATTTGTAGAGTTGCCTAACTTTGATGCATTTTCTACATTTAAGGTCAGATTTGAATTCTTTCTCACCTCTCTAAGTCTAATAATGACTTACCTTGCTGCCTTCCTATAGCCATTTCATACATACTTTTGAATTTGCTTGCTTTGCAGGACCTTCTCAGTAAACATGGAAATGTGATCGCCAAATTTTTGACGGCTCAATATGATGAGGTTCGCGTCTTCCTTGGCATACTTATCTTATTTGAACATAATCATGCTATAGATGTAGAAGTTGGTCCAGGTAAGAGGAAACATATTAATAAATTAAGATTGTTATATTGTGTTGAAATTAGCTTTGAAATTTAATTTGGTTAACTTTGATGTGTGTTTGCATAGCTCCTAAGTTATTTTTCACTTTAGTTTGTCATATTTTACTTGCAAATTTTTTATGCTAAACGAGCCAATCTTGTACTTACTCTGACATTCTAAAGGTTTATATATGAAAACAATTGAAAAGCTTCTTATGTATAGTTTTCATCCTAAGCATAGTGAAACTCAATTACGAAGTTTGTTATTGCTAAAGAAAACAACCCTCATATTGGAAGAAGGCTTGTTTATTTAATTTTAAACTGTGTTTCAATCCATTGCTGATCAAAATCATTGGAGTGATGTCTTGTAGTTGTCATTATCATTATCATAAGGATAAAGTTAATAGTTTATTTCAGTTTCTTCTGTAGAAAAATAACTAATAAGAATAAGGTTTCTAAAGTATTGTTCATGTGTTTCAGGATTTTTGCTACTATGCGAATACAATTTTCTTGATTTACCTTCTGTTTTATCAAAAGAATGAAAAGCATTTTCTGGTTTGCTTCTCATTTGCTGAGGTGAGTGTTTTACGGTAATTTGACATCTTAGAAGACGAGCGGTTCATCGGTCGGTTTTGCGTCTTATTTAAGTGCTTCTGTTGCAGGGGCCTTTAGCATGGGCTTTGATTTTTTGGCATTGCAGTTTGGTGTTCAGTTCTGTTGACAAAATCGTCAGTGTTCTTATCCATCTCTTACATGGTATGTTATACCTACCATTTTTATTATTTTTCT